AAAAAAAAAAAGAAACTAAAATAATCCTGTTTGAAATCAGTGTGGGAGACAGAAACAATATAGAAATGATATAGTATTCTTCTATTGATTATAAACTTGTATTTCTTACAAAGTTATTGTATTTTTTAATCCAAAGATAGTCTATAGAGATCTAGTTCAAATTTCTCATCAATGAGAAAATTGAGACCTGGAGTGGTTAATCCAGATTATTGAGATTCACTTTTTAGGGAAAGAGTAGAATTAGAATGGAGGCAGAGTAACTTCTAGTGTTTTTTTCCCACCACATTGTGTCAGATTGCCTGTGTGGAAGTCTCAGATTCATTTTTCTCTTCACTTCCAAGTTATCTCCATTACTCTCTGTCACACCACTGAAGGTAGCTGCAGTTTTCTCTTACATATAAGTGTAACTTGTGAGTTAATATGTAAAACCTTTCTGATCTTCGGTCTGAAAGTAACATCAATAAAATCATGAAAGCTTGGAATAGGAAAAATTAGAGTCAAGTATAGCTAGCTATCTCAGTATCTCTTTTTGTGCTTTTCTTACGTGTAAGGCAAAAAGAATGAACTAGGAAATTATGTTGTAGCACTTGGCATTGAGGAGATCAATGTCCTTTCTCTCATATATATCAAATTTTGGTGTTTCACAATACTGCTTTTGAAATTAATTTCCCATAAACTTAAGTACTAAGAAAGGTTGAAGATTTATTTCTGAAACAAATGAACATTAATATATTATTCTGCTGGGTGTAGTGTCATGTACCTGTAGTCCCAAGCTGTTCAGGAGGCTGAGGCAGGACAATCACTTGAGGACAGGAGCTCAAGGTTACTATGAGCTATGACCAGGCTATTGCACTCCACTCTGGGTGACAGAGATAGACCCTGTATCTTAAAAAAATAAATTACACACACAAAAATATCTGTATGTAATTTGCATGGAACTCTAGTAATAGAAATGGTATGTAGTTTTTAGTTAGCTCTAAATTTATTAAAACATTTGTTTCTATTATGACTTTTTAGGTACTGTAGTTAATATGGTGACTGGAAAAGGTAGTCACAGGATTTGAAATAGTCTGCTTTTTATGATATTAATACGGTGGCATTTGTTTTTTCTCATTCACAGTGGCTTACTTTGTAGAGTAAGTGCAGGAAATGATATGGCCTGCCTCACTACTGATTTACTTGCTGCTCTTGGCAAAATGGAACCTGTCTTTACTCCCTTGGTGTTAGCCTTTCGCTACTGGGCTAAGGTAAGTGAACAGAAAGAAAGGTATTTTTTTATTTTATTTTATTTTATTTATTTTTTGTGGTGTACAAGGAAAAGAAAGGTATTTAATCTGCAAAATCAGTCAGGCTTTTTCTTGCACTGACATGTAACGTGTATCATAATGTGGGACAAAGTTGTTATCTGTACCAGACAGAAAGTGGTGTGGCAAATTCTGATTTATGAACATCAAAATAAAGTCTCAAAGTGATATAGACTTAGTGATGTATTTCAGATTTTTTTTCTTTTTTTGAGACAGAGTCTATCCACTTTATCCCTGGATACAGTACATTGGCATCATAGCTCACAGCAATTTCAAAGTCTTAGGCTCAAGCACTCCTCTTGCCTCAGTCTCCCAAGCACCTAAGACTACAGGCACCCACCGTAACACCTGGCTGTTTTTTAGAGATGTAAGGGTCTCCCGCCCCCCCCGCCCCCCTTTCCCCCAGTTTTTGGCCAGGGCTGGGTTTGAACCCACCACCTCCGGCATATGGGGCCAGCTCGCTACTCCTTTGAGCCACTGGCACTGCCCAGGGGGCTCACTCTTGCTCGGGCTGGTATTGAACTCTTGAGCTCAGGCAATCCACCTGCCTTGGCCTCACGGGGTGCTAGGGTTACAGGCGAGAGCCACTGTACCAGGCTTATTTTAGAATTTTTAGTTGTTATACTTTTATTCTCTTCCTATGTACTATAGAAATGTTCTCTTTTATATCTTAATATATAGGATTAATTAAAGTTGTAAAGTTGTAAAATACAGTATGTAAGTTAAGGTTCTTTTATTGGCATATTTTTTCCCAATCTCTAAGAATGATTTTCTCTTTCCTCAAAATCATTGATAATATCGAGCAATTTCTGATTGTGTACTTAGTTCCTAAATTGGAATTAATTTATATATCAGAAGGCTGTGGTTGCCCTGTGCTCATTTCTTTGGTGTGGAGGTAGGGAGCAGGAATGGTTAAATAATTACTAATGTTAGTCCAAGTGACCAGAGAGAGAGATTTTAGCTTTTTTGTGTTTGTTCTTACTATATCAGTACAGTATTCATCACTTATTAGATTAGTGGTGAATACATTCTCAGTCTTATACAAAGAAAACTGAAGAAGGGGATGGTGGCAGAGTGATAACTTTAGGGCAAAAACGGTCAGAGGATTATCTTTTGGAATTTTTTTTTTTAACTCTGGTCAGAGGATTACCCCACCTCCCCCCAAGTGCATAGAGCGGTACCAGCTGGCTGAGTAAGTACAGCTTGAAAAGTAAGGCATAGTCTCAAAGCCTGAAGTTGGGGCTTCTTTATACTCAAGGCCTTTGTACTACGTATTTGCTACACCCTTTATCTAGAATGTTTTTTTTTTTTTTTTTGAGACAGAGCCTCAAGCTATCCCCCTGGGTAGAGTGCTATGGCTTCACTGCTCACAGCAACCTCCAACGCCTGGGCTCAAGCGAGTCTCCTGCCTCTGCCTCCCAAGTAGCTGGGACCACAGGTGCCCGCCACAACACCCGACTATTTTTTGGTTGCAGCCATTATTGTTGTTTGGCGGGTCTGGGCTGGATTTGAACCCGCCACCTTAGGTGTATGTGGCTGGTGCCTTAGCTGCTTGAGCCACAGGCGCCGAGCCTATCTAGAATGTTCTTACTCCAGGTATTCAGATTGGTTTACTCTTATCTTTTCAAGTTTCTGTTTAAATTTTACTTTATCAGAGTTGCCTAGATGACCCTATACAAAATAGCATTTCATCTATCATTTTACCTGCCTTACCTTGTTTTATTTTTTCATAGTATTTACTACCACCTGCCATACACACATTTATTTGTTTGCAGTCTGTTTTCTTCCATGAAATTATAAACTAGGGCGTGGTGCCCATAGCACAGTGGTTACAGTGTAGTTCGAACCTGGACCTGGCCAACTGAAACAACTGCAACAAAAAAATAGCCAGGTGTTGTGGTAGGTGCCTGTAGTCCCAGCTATTTGAGAGGCTGAGGCAAGAGAATCACTTGAGCCCAAGAGGTTGAGGTTGCTGTGAGCTGTGATGCCACGGCACTCTACTGAGGGCAACATAGTAAGACTCTGTCTCAAAAAAAAAGAAAAACAAATTATAAACTTGGCTGGGTGCATTGTCTCATGCTTATAATCCTAGCATTTTGGGAGGCTGAGGCAGGTGGATTGCATTAGATCACAGGTTTGAGACCAGCCTGAACCAGAGCAAGACCCGTCTTTAAAAATAGCTGGGTGTTGGTGGGAGTGCAGTGAGGGGGAGGGTTGTTGCCTGTCGTCCCAGCTACTTGGGAGGCTGAGGCAAGAGAATTGCTTAAGCCCAAGAGTTTGAGGTTGCTGTGAGCTGTGATGTCATAGCGCTCTACTGAGAGCCACAAAGTGAGACTCTTGTCTCAAAGAAAAAGAAATTATTAACTCTTTGAGAGCACAGATTTTAATTTGTTTTATTTATTTGCTTCTTGTCCCTAGGATCTTTTATTTTACTGTGTCAGGATGTAAGACACACTTAATAAATATTTGTTAAATAATTTACCCAGTTTGTTTAGAAAGAGATTTTTAGGCCAGGCCTGGTGGTTCACACCTATAATCCCACCACTTTGGAAGACAAGGTAGGAGGATTGCTTGAGGCCAGAAATTTGAGACTGGCCTGAGCAACAGTGACACCTCATTTATTAAAAAATTTTAAAAATTGGGTGGGTGTACTCAATGTGTGTCTGCAGTTCCAAGCTGCAGGGAAGGGTCAGGCAAGAGGATTATACTCAGGAGTTTGTAATCTTGTCTCAAAAAAAAAAAAAGAACTGCACGTGCACATGTGTATATTTGTATGTGGTTGTTTGAGTATAGAAAAAGGCATGGTAGAGTACATACAGGGTTGTTAATAATTGAAGCAGAAGTAGAGATGAGATAAGGAAAAACAGATATATTTTTTAGTTTGGGTTAGTAAGAAGGTACATATGATTAGATTATATTATTTGTGTTTGTATGGTTAAGTCCAAAGTCTGAGCGGTAGCTGAGTCCTTCATTCAAGAAGTGTACCATATATTCCTACATTATACTCAGTAGGTGGGAGCTTACTCAGTCCCTTCCCCCTCCTTCTTGAATTTGTGTTTTTCTCTCATATACATAATATATATGTAAATATAATACATATATTTAAGAGACAGGTCGCCCACTATTGCCCAGGGTGGAGTGTGGTGGCATAATCATAGCTTACTGTAACCTCCATCTTCCCACCTCAACCTTCCAAGTAGCTGGGACTACAGGTGTACCACCATGCCTGGCTAATTTTTAAATATTCTTTTTGTAGAGATGACATATTGCTGTTGCCAGTCTGGTCTTGGAACTCCTGACCTTGGGCAATACTACTGTGTTGTTTTCCCAAAGGGATTATAGTGTGAGCCACCATGCCTGCCCCAGGGGAGGGGGGGGAAAGGGATAAAAAATATATATATATATTATTTTTATTTTTTTATTGAGATAGTCTCACTTTGTTGCCCTCTGTAGAGCACTGTGATGTCATAGCTCACAGCAACCTCAGATTCTTGGGTTCAAGTGATTCTCTTGCCTCAGCCTCCTGAGCAGCTGGGACTATAGGTGCCCGCCCCTGAGAAAAATATTTTTAAATGATGTCCACAGTAGAAGCACTACGTGTAATATAATTCCATTTATATATCTTTAGATGCATAAAGAAATGAATGACAAGATGGTCACCAACAGTTAATGGTTATTATTTCTAGGTAATGATATTTCACATCATTCCTTATATTTTGCTTTGTTATTTAAGCTTTTTACAATGATAATGGTAGGAAAAACAAGCTGCTTTTATTTTGAAAGTAGAAGAAGCTAAATGATGGTATTTCCCCTTTGATTTTGCAGTTGTGTTATATTGACTCCCAGACTGATGGTGGAATCCCTTCTTACTGTTTTGCTTTAATGGTGATGTTTTTTCTACAACAAAGAAAACCCCCTCTTCTTCCTTGCTTACTTGGAAATTGGGTAAGCATGAGTTTGCGATGTATATGTGCGTGTATATGTGTAGTTTGCTCCTGCAGAGTGTTCTGCTCAAACGTTTTTAAGCTGGAATTCTGGTTTGTCTGTTTGTCCATTTTTTTTTTAATAATTTTTCCACTACCAATTTGGAATGCCTTTTCATATAGATTGAAGGCTTTGACCCAAAAAGAATGGATGACTTTCAGCTGAAGGGCATAGTAGAAGAGAAGTTTGTGAAGTGGGAATATAATTCAAGTAGTGCAACTGAGAAAAACTCAATTGCTGAGGAAAACAAAGCTAAGGCAGACCAACCAAAAGATGATACCAAGAAGACAGAAACAGACAACCAAAGTAATGCCATGAAGGAAAAACATGGCAAAGTAAGCTGTTTTTGTTTTTGTTTTTGGCTTTTCTATCTGTAGAATTTGTGATGTCTTCTATTGAAGCTATTATAATAGTAGATTGACCTTCAGTAAGCCTCTTGGCCTCATTTTCCTCATCTGTAAAGTGAGGGGTTGATCTGGTTTAGTTTTTCAGTATTGAGATACCCTGATGAATTTATCCTTTATTTTGCAAAACTTGTATTGTTTGAATCATGTCAAGGTAATTCTATCATTTTTCATCTAGGCAAGGAAAATTTCCTTCAGGAGTTAGGCACTGACCAAACTTTAGCCCATGGGAATTAGTGGCAGACTGGGTGGGGGAATAAAGGCCCTGTGCTCTATGACAGGGTGGCTTGCTTATTTGATCATTCAACATTCATTTATTAAGGACTTGCTATGTGTTGGTCATTATTTTGAGTGCTAGTGAACCAAAGATGAATGTACTTGGATTGTGGCATCCAGAAGGTTGTAGTCTTTGAAGTAGACAGATTTCTTATTACAGAAACCTAAAGTTTCCTGAAGTCATTGCTATAGCTATACTGAATTATTCGTAGTTTCCTGGATATTCTTCCCTACTCCATTCAACTCTACTTCTAACTCTCTCCTCAACTTACCACAATACTGTCAGCTAATCTTTCTTACTTCATTGAGAAATCTGAAGAAATCCAAAGCCACTTCTGTACACTCACACCATTATCTGCCACCTGTACTCACATACTCACATATACTCTGCCTTGCTGCCTGCTTTTTTAAAAAACACATAGAATCTTGCCCCATCACTAAGACTGCAGTGCAGTGGCGTGATCACAGCTTACTGCTGCCTCCAGCTCCTGGGGTCAGTCAATCCTCCCCTCAGTCTGAGACTACAAAAACAAACCACTTGGCTGTTTTTTATTTTCTGTTTTTGTAGACATGAGGTCTCACTATGTTGCCCAGAGTGGTCTTGGTCATGGGCTCCAGTGATCCTCCCACTTTGGGGTCCCAAAGTGCTAAGATTAAAGATGGGAGGCATACTGGGCTGCTGCCTGCTTTCATGAGGAATTTTCTTTGTTCTTATCTAAGATAAAAGTCATTTTCTTTACATGTCCACTCCTATCCCTTCTTGTTTATTCCAGAACATCACTCTAGCAAGTATTCTCTTTTCCTTCTAAATTACAATTTTTCATTCTCTGCTGAATCAAGTCATGCTTTTTATTTCTCCCATTTTAAAGAAATATCTGACACAGCTTCCCCTCCGAGCTATTCCTTTGCTGCCTTTTTCAGTAAAACTTCTTGAAAGAATTATCTGTATTCTCTATTTCAATTTGTTTCCTCTTAACCTCACACTAACCAGGCTTTGACTCCATTTATCTGTCAAAACTTATTGTCATCAAGTCAGTAAGCCTCCACATTACTAAATCCTGTGGTAATTTCTCTTGCCAGTCGATTACTTCTTTCTCTGAAAAATTTATTCCCTTTCACGACACTACCCCCGTAGCTAGTTATTCCTTCTCAGTCTCCTTTGTTTGACTCTTAATATTAAGTGTTCTAGGGCTCAGTTTGTGATCCCTCTTTTCTTGTGTATGTACAGTCTTTGGGTAATCCTATCTAATCCTGTGGATTTTAAGTACCCTTTATATGATGATGGCTCTCAGATTTAAATATCCAGCTATACCTGTCTCTTGACCTTTAGAATTTTATGTCCAGCTGTTCATTTAAAGTCTCTACTGAGATGTCTGATCAGTGTCTTAAATTTAATATGTCTAAACTGAACTCCAGATCCTTCCTTGAAACTTGCTCCCTACTCAATACCCAGTTTTCCCACCTCAGTTGATGGCACTCTGTCCTTCCAGTTGCTTATTTAAAAACCTTGGAATTACGCTCTGCTCCTCTCTTTCTTTTATATCCCTTATCAAATATGTCAGGAAATCCTCTCATCTCTACTTCAAATTATATTCAGAATTTAATCAATTCCCACCACCTCTATTATTACTATCCTGGTTGTAGCCACCATCAATTGTGGCCAAGATAACTGTTGCTGCTTCCTAATGGGCTTACCTGCATCTACCCTTGTTTCCAATAGTCTATTCTCATTTTCTTTCCTTTTTTTATTACACACCACTGTACTGACAAGGACTTTATTGTCTAGGCTCAACACAATAAGCAGAACAGTTCTTCTAAAATGTAGGTCAGACCAGGCCTTTCCCCTCCCCACACTTAAAATGCTTCAGATGTTCTTCATTTCATTTAGAAAACAAGCCAAACAAATCCTTACTGGGTAGCTCTTTGCTTTCCTCTTCTACTTTTCATCTCACTCTACCATACAAGCTTTCCTGGTTTTCTTTTCAAAGCTAGTCACACTCGTACTTTGTATATTTGCTCTGTTTCCCATTCTTCAGATCACATCTCCTCCCCCTTCTTCAAATCACACCTCCTCAATAAGTCTTACCTTGACCACTCTGTTAAACACTTTTAACCTTCTCCTGTTCTCCCACTCCTATCCCTTTTATCTTACTCATGTTTTTTCCCCCATAGCACTTATCTTTTAACTTATTATGTGATTTGCTTATTAAGTTTGTCTTCTCCGTGAAGGCAAGGATCTTTTTGTTTCTCCCCTAAAATATATTCTGAGTACCTAGCACACTGCCTGGCAGTATTTGTGGGCGCTCAGTGAATAGTTGTGGAATTAAACGTGTGAATGTATTTCATGTCTTTATGCTGCCTAGTGGTCACTTTTAGCCAGTTATCATCTAAATAATTCCTTTGGAATTTAGGTATTACTTTCTATTGAGATCCTAATGATTTATTAGAGGTCTTTCTTAGCATATAGCCTTTACTGTAATTGCTAAATTTTTTATCCCTGTCCTAATAGTCTATCAAGTAATAACCTCACCTTATTTGAGTGGCAGTATTCACAACATGGACCCAGTAGCCAGCTGGTCTTTAGTCAGATCTTTGCCCTGTAGTATCTGCTTCATAGAATTATCAGAACTAATTGTTAAAATATATGCTGTTCTTAGAAGAGTGAATAGTGCATGAGATCTATTTTATGATATTCTGAACAACGCTGAGGATGTATCTTCTGCAGAAATGTTTGTTGAATGAATGAATTAGTTTTTTTCAAAGTCAAGGAATTTATTTACATTTAAAAAGTAATTGCAGTGAGGAGCTGTAGTTGTTATTATGTAGTGGTTTGCGGTCTTGTCTGCACATAAGAATCACTTGGGGAGCTTTATAAATCCCATTGCCTGGTACCAGCTCAGTTAAGTCAGTCTTGGGAGGGGTATGGAAGGAAGTGTTGGTGTGGAAGTCAGGTCTTAGTGTATTCTGATGTTCCTGTATGATTCTAATGTGTAGCCAAGGCTGGGAATCACTGGTTTGGGTAGAAAGAATACAGAATTCCTAGGAGTTAGTAAACTGGGGCTCTGTTCCCAACTTTGCTTTTTACTGATTGGTTTTTGACAAGTTACTCTCAGGTTTTGAAAATGTGATCTCTAAGGTCTTTTCTAACTGAAAATCCATTGATTCTGTAGTTTGTGAAGCTTAAATGAAAAGTATTTTTTTCTTTTCCAGTCCCCTTTAACATTGGAAACACCAAATCAGGTATCTTTGGGACAATTATGGTTAGAGCTGCTAAAATTTTACACACTGGATTTTGCTTTGGAGGAATATGTTATATGTGTACGGATACGAGATATTTTAACAAGAGAAAACAAAAACTGGCCTAAAAGGCGAATAGCTATTGAAGGTGAGGTAATATTATGTTTCAGTTGGAGAATATTTTTTTGTATGCCATTTATCATCTATTTTAAAATCTAGCATTATAAGTTTTACTTCTTGGCTTTGTAGTTGTATATTTGCTGCTAGGTTGTCATTATATATTTGATTAATTCTTTGTCAAGTCCATTATAGTTTCATAAGGTTAATACCTATTTTGTGGTTTCTGATATGTAAGTATGTTGGTTAGCTTATTATTAGCTTATTTTTGTGCCTTTATTTTGTAATTATGAAAATCTTCAGAGTACCAAAGAAGTTATTATGAACACAACAGAAATACAGAACAATAGAAATTAATAGAATACTACAAGAGGCTTGGTGTTCGTACCACAGTGGTTATGGCATCAGCCATATACACCAAGCGTGGCAGGTTCGAACCCAGCCCAGGCCAGCTAAACAACTGCAACAAAAAAATAGCTGGGCGTTGAGGTGGGCACCTGTAGTCCCAGCTACTTAGGAGGCTGAGACAAGAGACTCACTTAAGCCCAAGAGTTTGAGGTTGCTGTGAGCTGTGATGTCATGACACTCTACCCAAGGCAACATAGTGAGACTCTGTCTCATTAAAAAAAAAAAAAAACAAAAAACTATATGAAATGAACATCTTTTTGAATACAATTATGTCATGAGATTATGTTAAATTTTAATTTAAAGGCCAGTTTTCATTTCCTTCTCAAGTGCTTATCTGTTAAATGTGGCTAAGTTAAAGGAAAAAAGAACAATTGATATTGATACACACAGGGTTTCACACTGAGTTTCAAGAACCTTGAAGTTTTTATAGATACAGAAATTAGTAGAGTGGCTTCTAAATTCCTAATCAGTCACTCATGTTTTATAGATAGGAAATTGAATTATATCCATCATTTTAGTCTATTCAGCATACATATTCTGTTTTCTCACTCCTCTGTTGGCCTTCTCTACTATGTGTTAGGCCCCAAAATATTCTGAAGTAGACAAACATGTGCTTACCCCTTGTACTCTCTTGCACATAGTAAATAAATGAACCCTGAAGCCTCCAACCATAATTTCTCTCTCTCTTTTTCTTTTTTTGGAGACAGTCTTACTGTGTTGCCCTCAGTAGAATGCTGTGGCGTCACAGCTCACAGCAACCTCAAACTCTTGGGCTTAAGCAATTCTCTTGCCTCAGCCTCCCAAGTAGCTGGGACTACAGGTGCCTGCCACTGCACCCAGCTGTTTTTTGTCTCAGTTGTCATTGTTGCTTAGCTATCCTGAGCTGGGTTTGAACCTGCCAGCCTCTGTGTACATGGCTGGCACTATAACCACTGTGCTACAGGCACCGAACCACTCTCTTCACACCTCCCCCCCTTTTCTTTTTTTGAAAAGGGAGAAAGAAGCTAGGAAATGCTTTTTAAAGCCTATGGATTTCTTTTAAAAAAATTATTTTTGTGTGTGTGTGTGGAGACAGTTTCACTTTATTGCCCACCACAGAGTGCCGAGGAGTCACACAGCTCACAGCAACCTCCAACTCCTGGGCTTAGGTGATTCCCTTGCCTCAGCCTCCCGAGTAGCTGGGACTATAAGCGCCCACCACAATGCCCGGCTATTTTTTGGTTGCAGTTTGGCTGGGGATGGGTTTGAACCCACCACCCTCGGTATATGGGGCTGGCGCCCTGCCCACTGAGCCACAGGCACAGCCCTATTTTTTAATTATTATGTATGTATGTATTTATTTATGAGACAGAGTCTCGTGCTGTCGCCCTGTGTAGAGCGCTGTGGCATCATGGCAGCTCACAGCAACTTCAAACTCTTGTGCTCAGATGGTCCTCTAGCCTTAGCCTCCTGAGTAACTGCAATTATAGGCACTGGCCACAAGGTCCAGCTAGTTTTCTTCTATTTTTAGGAGGGACGGGATCTCCTTCTTACTTACTCAGGCTGGTCTTGAACTTCTGAGTTCAACCATTCCACCCACCTCGGCCTCCTAGAGTACTAGGATTATAAATAACAGCAAAAAGTAACAGAATCCCCAGTTTTAACAATTTGAAGCCTGGCCTTTTAATCCTTTTACTTAATGATCTTTAATAGTGGAGAACAGATACATTGTCTTTTGGGTGCACTGTTTTTTTTTTCCTGGGGCTTATTTACATATATAAAAATCTGATAATTCACCTTTTAGAGGTTTGTTATATGTGCTTAATGATGAGAATGCAATTGATGCAGGACTTTCGAGGGTTGCCATTTTAGACTGAAACATGATTTAAATTTTGGTATAATTTTCACTTTTTAGGTCTCTTTTTACCTTTCTTTATTTTTCTGATCTCACTAAAGTTAAACCTTAAAGTCAGTGTTTTTCAGGTTGAAGCTTTGAGAGTTTTAGGTTGTGTTTTATTTATTATTTACTTAATATTATTTTTTGAGACAGAGTTTCACTTTGTTGTCCTTGGTGGAGTGCTGTGGCGTCACAGCTCACAGCAACCTCCAACTCTTGGGCTTAGGCGATTCTCTTGCCTCAGCCTCCCGAGAAGCTGGGACTACAGGCACCTGCCACTCAGCTATTTTATGTTGTAGTTCGGCCGGGGCTGGGTTTGAACCCGCCACCCTCAGTATATGGGGCCGGCACCCTACTCACTGAGACATAGGCGCCACTGTAGGTTGTGTTTTATTTAAATTGCAAAGAGCTTATAACTAATATTAAAGAATGACAAGAGATGAACACTATTAGTGGGTCCTTGGAGCTTGAAAATTTTTGTTCAGTGATAATGTGTAGGAGTGTATTGGCATAGCTCCTTTCTCCAGAAATTCCATCATTGAAACTTTGTAATTACTGAGTTGGCCTTCTCAGCCATTTTCTTATTAGTTACCTTCTTCTTTTAGTTTTTTCCTTTATGGGAGGAACAAAGGAAAGGATGTTGCTACTGTATTTCCCAACTCAGGTTTCAGGAACTTTCATTGGGACCCTTGGTTAGAAAAACCTTGAGAAAATGTACTTTGCTTATAATCTGACAGGATTTATTTGTGTAAGCTTGGAAATGTAGTTTGTTTAGTGGAGATTTAGCTGTTGACTACTTTTTTTTCTTTTTTTTTTATTAGATCCATTTTCAGTCAAGAGGAATGTTGCACGGAGTTTAAACAGCCAGCTTGTTTATGAATATGTTGTGGAGCGATTCAGGGCAGCTTATCGGTATTTTGCCTGTCCTCAGAGGAAGGGTGGAAATAAGTCTACAGTGGATTTTAAGAAAAAAGAAAAGGGAAAAATAAGCAATAAGAAACCAGTGAAGTCTGACAGTATGGCAACCAACTGTAGCATTTTGTTTGGGGAAAGCACAGAAAAAATAAATGCAGAAAGAAATCAACCTGATAAATATGATGAAATGGAATGTACATCACAGAGATGTATTAATGACAATGAAAGTTTGTTGGTAAATGAACTAGGTTTGGCTGACTGTGGACGGGAATCTTCATCTCTTTCTACCAGTGAAGGCAGTGAATTAGAGACAAAATCAGTGAAGAAACAAGATGATTTAGCACCTTCAGAAACTTGTTTAAAAAAAGAGCTCAGCCAGTGTAATTGCATGGATTTGTCTAAGTCCCCAGACTCAGATGAGTCTGCTGGAACAGATTGCAGATCAGATTTAGAAATGGACAGTTCACACCAGATTGTGTGCACGAACACATCGGCTACCTCTTATAACTGCAAAGCTACAGAAGATGCATCTGACCTTAAGGATGATGATAATCTTCCGACCCAGGAATTATATTATGTGTTTGATAAGTTTATTTTAACCTCTGGCAAGGTAGGATATAGTTTGTAATCAATCTGTAAGATTTTGTTGTATGATACTATACTACTTTATAGTTTTTAGATTTAGAAATGTAAGAATAGCTTATATGGTGGCTACCGTTTTGGAATGATACTTTAGCATGTATTTTACTTTTTGCCTTTTTCCTATAGTTGCCTTTAGATAACATACAAAACCTTAAAAGCTTTTATCACTCTATTACTAATTGGTTTTCTTGAGTTTCTTATATATGAAAGGATTCATTTGATATTTTATGAAAAACAATTTAGCAAAGGCAACATATATTTAAAATTTTGCTTGTTTTTTATTTATATATATATATATATAACTTTTTTTCCAGAAAGAATCCAAGGTTTGTATATTACAGCATCCTATTTTTTTGTACCCTTCTCCTGTATTATACTATTTTATTTTATTTATTTATTAATTTTTTTGAGACAGTGTCTCATTTTGTCACCCTTGGTAGAGTGCCATTGTGTCATAGCTCATAGCAGCCTCAAACTCTTGGCCTCATGTGATCCTCTTGCCTCAGCCTCCCTGGTAGCTGGGATTACAGGCACCCTTCATAACACCTGACTATTTTTGGAGATGAGGTCTTGTTCTAGCTCAGGCTAGTCTCCAACTCCTGAGCTCAGGCAGTCCACCCACTTTGGACTCCCAAAGAACAGGGATTTACAGGCATGAGCCACCGCACCCAGGCAGTATAGTATACTATTTTAAAGAATTTTGTTTTAGGGCTGGGCATGGTGGTTCATGCCTGTATTCCTAGCACTCTAGAAGGCTGAAGTGGGTAGATTGCTTGAGCTCACGGGTTTGAGACCAGCCTGAGCAAGAGCAAGACCACATCTCTAAAAATAGCTGGGTGTTGTGGTGAATGCCTGTAGTCCCAACTACTTGGGAGGCTGAGGCAAGAGAATTATGAGCCCAAACTTTGGAGGTTGCTGTGAGCTGTGACACCAGGGCACTCTACTAGGGAGACAAAGTGAGACTCTGTCTCAAAGAATTTGGTTTTTGGTGAGAGGGGAGACTATAAGCATACTAAAGGGTAGTTGAAGGAAACTAAGGTTGGGAATCAAAAAAGAACTTAGATTTTGTCTCTGCTATAGAGCTTTGCTGGATTTTGGCTTATTCCTTATTAAATTATAGGAATTCTAACTCTTCTACTTTTAAAGTGGCATAATCTGAACTTTTAACTCATTTAGAAAATACCCCAATGAACAGAAAATAAATAGTAACTGCTTTGTTAATAAAGGAAAGTTTTATGGCCAGGTGTAGTGGCTCATGTTTGTAATCCTAGCACTCTGGGAGGCTGAGGTGGATGGATTGCTTGAGCTCATTTCATGAGTTTTGAGACCAGCCTGAGATAGAGCAAGACCTCCATCTCTACTAAGAATAGAAAAAATGAGGTAAGAGGATCGCTTGAGCCCAGGAGTTGGAGGTTGCTGTGAGCTGTGATGGCCATAGCACTGTACCTGGGGCAACAGCTTGAGGTTCTTTCTCAAAAAAGAGTTTTAGCTAACTAATGTTGCTTTAAGTGCAGTGCACATAATTGAAATATCATATGAACAAAGAAATGATTATATAGATCATATGTCAGACAAGTAGAATATTTTTTAAAAACTCATAGTCATCCAGTTTTATTATTTTATCCATAATTACTTACTGATAAGCTTTACAATTTTTAACATAATTACTAAGCAGTATTTTTCGTTTTAAAATCTGCTTTATTAAATATCTACATAAAAGTCTGTAGATATTTGATGTATGCAGTGGGATGTGTTTGAAGACATATATGCCTGGGAAATCGTCACTATCAGTGCCATTAATTTGTCCATCATCTCTAAAAATCCTCCCCCCCCCCACTGTCCTTTTGTGATAAGAACACTTACTATCTGTTGTCTTAGTGAATTTAAGATTATAATACAGTATTGTTAATCATAGGCTTTCCATTGTATAGTGGATCTCCAGAACTTATTTATTTTGCATAAATGAAACTTTACACCCTTTGACAAACACTTCCCCTTTCCCCCTCATCCTTCTAAGCAGTATTTCTTCATTCTGTGTAAGTACACGTTGGTTGCAATTGACATAAGCTGCAGTATTTAAGGCATATAGACAATTGAAAGGATGAAGTAAATGGCTGATATTTAGAAAAACTTCTTAATTACATAACTGCAGTTTATATTACTTTATAGTTTTTTTCCCTAGAAAATTAAGGTAAGGAATGTTTCTCTAATTTTAATTTTTATTAGTTATCTAACTTTTTTTTAATTTTAGAATTTCCTGCCTAAATATGTCATAGATTTATAAAAATTAATTAATTTTGCATCGGAGTCTCATTCTGTCACCCTGGGTAGAGCGCCATGGTGTCATACCTCACAGCAACCTCAAACTCTTGTGCTCGAGTGATTCTCTTCTCTTGCCTCAGCTTCCCAAGTAGCTGGGACTA